GGCATCTTCCAGTGACGCCTGCCTGGTGATGGGGATGTTGAAATGTTGCTTACATACCAGTCACTTACGGTTTGTCAATGAACCCTGGAGATGGCAGGTTGCATTTGGGAGTTGTTTGGGGTACACAAAGCTCCTGTGAACGTTTTCTGCTGCTCCAGGGTGATTTCCCCCCTCCTTCCCTCCTTCTTTGCTTTGTTTCTGGGCCTGCAGCTGTTTCCAATTTGCTTGCAATTTTCATCTGGGCTAGTAAAGCTCTGGGGATGACTTAAACTAGCCACATGGGGGATCTGGGCTCTGCTCAGAGGTTTGATTACAGAGACAGAAGAATTGTATACTTCAAGAAATGCATATATTCTTAAAATACTGCCCCACCCCCACAAACTTTTTATGTATCCTAGACCTCCCTTCCTTTCAGAATTGTTCACTTGGGAGGGTTGGTTTTATTTAGTATTCCAGTTTTAACTTGGTTAGAAACCCTACAAATGAGAAAATTGGTGAGATAAAAATCTGGGGTTGTATTTAAAACACACACACACTTACCAATTAAAGGGGGTGATGTTTGTGTATATATATTTGCTTCTTGGGGTGGATGAAATGTTCAGTTCAGATAAATGGTTCTTTTCTGTTTGGTTTATCCAAGCTGCTGTCCTGTACCTAGAGAGAAGCTAAACTTAACTTAATGGGACTGCCTTCTGAGTGGACATTTATAGGACTGTGCTGTCAAGCCAGCCAATTTTGAGAAGCAACTGACTCCGACCTGGCGCCCTCCAGGTGTTGTTGGACTACAGCTACCATCATCCCTGAGCATTGAACATGCTGGCTGGAGCTGGTGGGAGTTGTAGTCTGAAACATTTGTGGCAGTGGGAGGGGATGGATTGGTGGAAGGCTTCCCTTAAGCAAAGGTTGGCATTCTTTAGGCTATTAAAATCAATGGACAAGTTTGCATTGGAACTTATGCATTTGGGTTTACACAGCAGTGAACTTGGCCCTGGATTAAAATGCAGTTACGCTCAGTGCAAAATTAAAAATCCAAGTACATGCACCATCCATCAGCATAGCTGTAAACTTTTCCCTTTTCTTGAGAGGAATCCTATTCAGAATAAGGGAATTTCCCTTTTAAAATGGGGAACGTTGACAGCTATGTCCACCAGCAGCTTATTCCCAAGTCTTTTAGTCAGTGGCGTAGCGTGGGTTGTCAGCACCTGGGGCAAGGCAAGTAATTTGTGCCCCCTAACCCGTGGATTTTAGCACTCGAGTCTCTTCCGCGCCCCCCCCAGATGTTGCGCCCGGTGCGGCTAGCCCCCCCTGCGCCCCCCACGGTACGCCCCTGCTTTTAGTAGAGCTAAAAGGTAAAGGTAAAGGGACCCCTGACCATTAGGTCCAGTCGTCTCTAGAGTAAATGTGCTGGCTGAATTTGCTTTAATCTTGTTCCTTAAAAAAACAAAAAATATTCAGATGTAAGTACTGCGAAGTTCAAAGATTCGCATTCTCAGGTTAAGAAACTGTCACCGGCAAAATACTGAATCAAACCACTTCCTACATTTCAGTGAACAGAATTATGAAAATCTGTCATTTTAAGCTGCTGCTGTTGTTAAAACAGCAACAAACTCACAACGCAACCCTTCTAGGACTCTCTAAAGAGAAGATTTACTGCATTACTTTTCAGGCTGAGGCCTAAGAAATACAATTACTTGTGAGTCAATACAACTGAAATGGTGGTATATATGAGCTGTTCAAGTCTGCAAGTTACATGCCTTTCATATTCTTGGCTTTTTCATTCCTTTTCTATTCTTGCAAGCTTGCAATGTTTACCTTGCCTGCAAAAATGGGTTTTCACGACAATCAGCCCATAATCTCCCCCCCCTAACAAAGAAGAAGAATAATCTCAAGAATGCCGACATTCAAAAATGCCTTTGCTTGTTCCAGAATGCACATCGAGGCACCATTGTTTTCTTTAGGAATTGTCAGGAATTCTGTCTGGTGGGGAGAGTGAATTGTATATAGACATGACTCCTGGGTTGCCCTTTCACCCTGCCACATTATACATATATATTAAGGAGGAAAATGTTTCAATATGTTAGACTTAGGGGTAAACCTAAAAGGGAAGAGATTTGCTGCTGGGGGTATTCTAAATACTTGGGGCAGGAGGTATTGTTTACACTAAAGGAGGTCCCTTGCTACATAGTCTCTCTGTAGGCCTTATAAGAACATACATAAATAACCTTTTCTTTAAAAAAAATGCTGTCTTAAGTGACATTATTTAGAATTTAAACATGCAAATAAATCATGCTATCTTAGTCCATGTAAGGCTTTTGTTTTCCTTTACCACAGCAATCAGCCCAGGGTTGCCTTGATCAACCACTCTACTCCAAAGTAAACCTGCATTCAGTGGGACTTATTCCCACTTTTCTGGGCTTTTCTGACAATTTTAATTTTTCTCATTGTCTCTGTCCTCCCACCCTACCACCAATCTAAAGTTTGGTTCCCTACATTGCCACATCAGTTTGCATTTTTTTAAAAAAAATCCTTAAAAATTTATCAGCATTTTGGTGCAAATGTCTTCTAACATACACATTTTGGAATGCCTTTTTGCCTAATATACACATTTTTGGGAAGGCCGCTTCCTCTGCTATAATGCCTGCTTGTCATTCATTTTTTTAGACACCCTTTATCCTCGGATGTGAATTTTGCTGAACGTTACCTGGCTGGAGAATCTCAGAGCAAAATCTGGAGAAGTTTGAATTTGAAAGGATGGCAGTTTTGATTCGTTTTGAATTTGAAAGGATGGCCGTTTGATTTGAAAGGGGAAATTATGTAGGTTGACCTTTATATGCACCCCGCCCCTTTCCTACTCTCAGGTAAGTGTGTCTAAGATTGCAGCCTTAACGCATATTTGAATAGATTACAGGCATATCCAAAGTCTGTTTCAAGGGCCTAATCCCCCAAAAAATCATTAAAAAACTCAACAACTTCAATCCTAAAAAAAGTTCAACAACTTTGGTCAGCCCTCACGCATGTTTACTTTGTTTGGGAACCCCTGATATAGAAGATCAGTGAACATTTTGGTGGCAAATGTGTTACCTTAATCTGAGGTCTTGAAGGATTCGCTTTTTTGTGGTGGGGGAGGGGAAAGGTCTCCAGTGGCTCTGCTTCATTGGGGAGGGGTTAAGCCTCTTTGCAAAGTAGATTGGCCTCCACTTCCCCATCCACACAAGTACATATCACTTGCTTGCACAATACCTGCCTGACAAGTGGCTGCCGTGTGTTTGACGAGGAGGTCAAGATGATGATGCTGGATTCCTTCACAAATCATCGCTTGATATGACAGCTATCAAGTAATGAAGGCATATGAGGGAAGCACGTCTCTCTGCTTCTCTCTCATGCACCCTCACTTGATGGCTCCAACCTCCAATGATGAGTTGCACCTCTGAAACAGCTAGCACCAAACATCACCTCAAAGCACACTTCTCTTGCCCACGATGGTTCATTTACCCCCCATTCCACTTTTGATTTGTATACCGCCTGTCTATTTTACTAAACCCAAGGCGGCTGACAAGCTGAACGGCAGAATTTGTCCCCACAGTTGTAATATACCAATGAAGGGCTCGTTCACACACAAACTGGTTTCGGGAACCAGGAGTGTAACTTCAGTTGCAACAACTGAAGGATTGAACCTGGAGGAGGTTGTATTTTAGTTTTGATTAACTTGTCCCCTTTATTTACTTCAATGGGAAAGAGGAGGTCCGCTTACACAGAGTCAGATCGTTGATCCCTTGAGGTCAGCAGTCTCTTGCAGAACCTCCGCTCACATAAGACTAAGACCAGTCTTCAAATCTCTGAAGGGCTGTCACATGACGGGGGGGAAATGAGATTTCAACTAAACATCAGGAAGAACTTTCTGATGGCATGAGCTGTTCAACAGTGGAATGAGCTACATTGGAAGGTGATGGACTCTCCTTCGTTGGAGGTTTCTCAGCAGAGGTTGGATGGTCATCTGTCAGGGATTCTCTAGCCATGTTTCCTGCACTGTAGGGGATGGGACTAGATGTTCTTTGGGGATCCCTTCCAATTCTGCAATCCTATGATTCCTTTGGGTCCATTCAGTCCATAACAAAGAGGAGTGGAATCTCCTTTAACATGTCCAACCAATACCCACCCCTAGATTTTTTTAGGAACCAGATGAGAAACAGTTCTCTTTACCTGTGCTAAAGTAGATTGCAAGTTGCTTTTGCTGCTTTTATTCCATCTGACTTTTCTGTGGTTTTATTCTGTATTTTAATGCAGTTGTAGTCTGCTTTTCCTGTTGCATATTCTGTTCAATAAGCTTCACTTTTGGCCATGTGGGTAAGTCATTTATGATTTGATTATATTTCTAATTCAGAAGATGTCTGGACGGTAGCCTTCTTAGATTAGCACTGAAAGTCATGTTTCAACCCCCTCCCCACACCCCTAAATAAACAAGAGACTTCTGAGCATGCACAGAGTTCTTTTACCTCCCCACCAAGTACGCAAAACTCACCCTCTCCCATCTAGAATTGGAGAGAAGGGCTTTCAGGTCACTCAGATTACACATTACACAGAGGCTTGAGTTCCCAGCACATTTCCTTTTTGAACTTAAAAGTACTGCCTTCCTCCCAAACAAGTAAAAGTCCAAACCGAGGAATGATGATTTTAAGAGCTAATATTTGGAGTGTCTTTCTTTTGAAGCGGGAGACCTAAAGCAGCACTTGAGCTCCACTCAGTGACGCTTTTTGGACTGGTTGCTCCAGCGGTGTGTGTGTGTGTGTGTGTGTGTTTTCCCTTTCCCCAAAAGTTTTGCAGTCTTGCATCTTTTTTAAAAAAAATAGGGTTTCTAGAAGATGAAAGCAGCTCCAGTCGAAGAGCAACCGACGGAGGCAAAGATGGTCACATTTGGCTGATTTATCAAAGGAGCAGCTGAAATATTGATAAGAGGTGACGCTGGGTGGCAGGGAGGAAGGGAGAGGGGTCTGGGGTAGGGGAGAGAGCAAAAGGGGAAGGAGGCACTGGGACCCACAGCATTGCAGAAAACCCCCGAGGATGCCTGAGAGCTGATGCAGGCAGTCTGGAGAGTCTGGGAAGAGAAGGACCCTTTTCATCTTCTCTACAGCCTCTGATGCAGCCAGGTTAATCTCCTTCCCGCAGAAAAGAGCTCTGTGTTGCCTCCGTAGCAGAGGGCTATGTTGGACCACCAGACTGGGGGAGACTTTGCTTAATTTTCTCCGTCACTTTGGATCTTTACAACTTGGCCTTCTTACTGGCAAGAGAGAAAGAGAGAGATCGTGCATAAAAGGTGAGGTTTTTAAAAAATATTTTTTTTAAGTAAATAAATGAAATCTGCAATGCAAATAAAGGATTTTAAAAGTTTGCCTTGTAAACGGAGGGCTGTGTTTTGCGTGGACTGGAAACATTGCCGGAGCCCCACCACCCGCTGTTCCTTTTCCAGGGTGGTTTCGCTTAATGCCAAAAGTTTTATATCGAAATTTAAGAGGAGTTCTGGAAGCAATTCTGCTCGCAGCAGAGAAGATTTCCCATCTGAGAAAGATAATTTGAGGGTGGTGAACCCCTTCCTGACCTCTGAAAACGAACTGGCCAAGGGAAATTATATTGCTCCTTAAGTCAGAGGCTTTTCAGCCCCTTCCTTATAGTTTTTTTTTTTTTAAATCAGATGTACAAAAAAAGGAATGTTTAAAGGAAGGAACCGTTTAGAGTCAATCGTCCTTTTGTGCTAGCTGGCTGAACAACAAATGTATATTCTACATTATTTGAACTTTTCTTTTTAATAGTAGATGTTTTAGCAAAAAAATCAAAGGCTTTGGAGAAGAATAGAGATGTTTTCAAAAGAAAGGTCAGGGGATGGAATTCAGGATTTCTCCTTCCGAGTAACTCTCCTGCTCAGGGTCCCAGTGAAATGAATGGGAGCGCTCGCTCTGGTCCAGCAAACCGGAGGACGGCTCAGCGGGAGTTGCACAATGTTGCTTCTCCCGTTGTTGGATTGTGTCCTAAAGCTGCAAAGGCAGCAGAGACGCAACCGAAGAGCTTCAGTATCAACTGCCGGATTTGACACACAACGTCGGTCCTGCGTTGTGTGGGCTGCATTTTGATTTATTTCTTTTTGCCAGTACCATTCACAAAAACAGCAAACATGAAACTTTGCACGAATACCTACCGCCTTCCCCGCCCTCGGCACCACCCTTGCACCGTGAAACACACACCTCCAAATGCAACATTCATCTTGGCGATTTTTAATCCCAGGTAGTTGTAGAAAATCAATATCGTTTGCATTTCAAAATGCCTAAAAGCTGCGGGTGGATGGGGGACGCGGCAAAGATCTTGGATGAACTTTGTCGTACTCCAGGAATTGTGCGCTCAGGGTACAATCTTAAAAGAGAAAGTAAGTTTGGCTGCATTTGACAGAATTTACTTCCGAGTAAACATGCTTAGGGCTGTTCTGTCAGTCGCTCAAACATAAGGCAAAAAGTTTACTCATTCCTATTTAATAACAATTAATATTTTATTATTTATACCCTGCCCACCTGGCTGGGTTTCCTTAGCCACTCTGATGCAGGAAGTTTCCCCTTAATTTTAGAAGCACTTTGAAAAAATGGAGTTGGCTCTCTCTCCCATCTTGGTTACTACGTATGCGTGAAATGAATCAATCCTTCTGATAATCCATATTTGTGTGGGTGTGGGTGTGTTTGTGTGTGGGTGTGTGATCCTAACCTGTTAATAGCTGTGTGGGACTCTCCAAACAAAGCAGCACTCCAATCCAAAAGAAATGGCTTGGTAATGGTTTCCACTGAAATCAATACTTATTCCTAGCAATGTAATAAAACTACTGTACACTGAATAAACTAATGACACACACACACTTTAGCTGAGCACCGATGGCATTTTCTTCCGCCTCTCTGAAATTCTCTCCGCCTTATATATCCAGAGCTTATCAATGGAACCTGCTCCCGAGGAAGCAGTGTATGGATCGCTGCTCCCTTGAATCCTGCAACCAGCGCCTCCATAAAACTCTTCACGGTGACGTCGCATTTAAGTTGCAGGGAAAGTGGTTCCGTATAAACAACCCATTATTTTGACATCAGATATAACACGGGCTGCCTGTTCCTTGCAGTGTTGATAACCCCCGTCCATAAGTATTTCCATGACCAAACACAGCTGTAGCTGCAAACGACTGCAGAGTGCTTTTCTGTCCCAAAATCAGTCGTGAGGAATAACTTCGTTTGCTTAACCAGTTCCCACTCGCATGAACCCACACATCTATGGCCAGAAGCACCTCTGTCTGTCACTCGTGTTATCAGTGATCCTTATCAGGCACGACGTGGAATAGCGGGTCCGCAAAAGGACCATTTGGGAAGATTTGTGTCTCCGCACTGAGGACTTGGGCTTGTTGGGAGATGAGCATCGTTGATTCCTGACTTCTAAAAGATAGTGGCTGAGTGTGGCTATGTCAGCTGTCTCCCTTGCAATCTGAGGACGAAATTCACCCAAAGTTAAACACTTCCAAACCCACTGATTTGTATGGGAGAGAGTTAAGCACATGCTAAGCTCATTGACCTCAACGGGACTTTTAAGGACTTGGCTTTGATTGGCTGGTGGCCCAAACTTAAATACACCAAGACCCATAGCATTTATTTACTGCTGATATATTTGGTTGTGCATGCAAGTGCGAAGTGTGTAATGATCAGTAGAAATAAATAATCTGAGACTATTCGTTTTACTACTGTGGGGGCTTTGCTGTGAACACACTAGGTTCTGTTCCCTTGCCTTATTAGAAATCATGTTAACAGTTTATTAAAAGCTATTAATGATGACATCATGATGTCATAAAGGTTGACCCGCAGAAAAAGTATGCGAGACAGCAGGAGCCCCTTGGCTGGCTAGCTACTTGTTTCACCAGCAGAGCTGACATTGAGAAACTGGGTTTCTTTGTTCTTTTTGGTGACAGGTTCTGCTTTCTAATATATGACTTGCACAACATTGATTTGTTTATTAATGGGCAATACACACCCCCTCAAATCAACAAGGTTTGTGCAAACCACATTAAGGACTGCAAAGAGTTAGCATGTGCTATTCTGAAAATAGGAACTTAGTACAATTGCATTTCATTTTGCAAAATAAAAAACAAAAAAACCCCACACCTTCCAATTTGGATGTTAATACCTAGCCAGTCTCAGCCTAAATATGCAAAAGTTTATTTTAATTATGAATTGTTGATGTGGAAATTGAATGTATTTATCCAGTGCAAAGTTTTCCACCTTCTCTGCCCTCCCTATTCTCCTGGCCCCTTCAAAAGAGACGCTGCAAATGGATAATTTTATTATTTCATGTGGTTTCCCCAAAATTGTTCTTTCTTCTGACATAAAAACCTGGATTAAAACCTGCTCAAACTGTATCTCACCTTGCTGGTTTTTATTATAAAAATCGAACAGGTTTGTGTTTGGGAGTTTTTTTAAATAAAAAAATTGCATTACTCTTCCAGGCCAACTTTGGGGCTCTTTCAAACATCTCTGTACAGCTAAGGATGTTCCAGACGGTACCAGACACTTCGTCTTACGTCAAGGTAAGACATGACAGCATCTTTAAGCAGGTAATGTCAAACATTTACAATCCTCCCATTTACAACCCCTCCCACTATTCAGTAAACCACATGTGTTAGTTTCAAGGTGAGACTTGAGCCTCTGTGACAATGGCTGAGTTTAGGGAAGCTTCCTGGAAAAATTCCTTGCATTAGCTGTATAATGCAGTGATGTTTACAGGAGTCAAGTTGGGGTTTCCTGACATACCGTATATCATATTCATCCTTTTGCCTTGTTGGAGTCTAACTAAGTAGTCCTATAAGGTAATGTGCTGATGAATAAATGTAATCTTCTTCCAATATTATTAAACAGCAGCCTGTTGCTCAGATTTACATATACTGTATAATACACATGCTTTCCCAAATGGTATCAAGCCTAGAATCCAAATTTGGTGCAATGTTGGAAAATGTTCTTGTCACATTTGGGGCTCCACTAACAAATAGCCCATCCTTACGACAGGTGCTAAGGGGGCCCTTTATATGGCAAATCTTTTGGGAAGATTAAGAAATCAAGAAGAGATTCTTGAACGAAGAATGGGGGAGATACAGTACATGGATTACCTGAAAAAATACTGTAAACAATTAAATACATTAGCAGGATTGATTTAAAATCTAGCACTTAAAAGGTGATTTTGGAAGAAATATAGAGAGTAATAAACAAAAGGAGTTGAGGAGGAGATGCAGTTTTGAAAATGTTTGTATAAGAAACCAAGGAAGGGGAGGAGGGAAGTCTAAACAGCTATGTATGTATTTGATGATTATTGTTAATTTGAAAAACTGAGAAATAATATTTATATATATGTATAAGGAGGGCTTTTATATAGAAGTAGTAAATAGCTCGACAGAGCATGCAGCCACCGCCATGCAAAAGATAAATTCCATGTTTGGCATCATGGGGAAAGGAATTGAAAAGAACACTTACCAGTACCATAATGCCATTATACAAATCTATGGTGCAACCACATTTGGAAGACTACAGTTCTGGTTGTAGAGTTAGGTTCAGAAAAAGGCAACCAGAATGATCATAGGGATGAAGTGGCTCCCCTTTGAAGAAAGGTTGCTGTATTTGGGATTTTTTGGTTTAGTGAAAAGGCAAGTAAGAGGTGATATGACAAAAGTTTCCAAAATCATGCATGGCATGGGGAGAGAGGCAAGATTTTCACCATCTCATAACATTAGCACTTGTGAACAGCCAATGAAGTTGAAGGTTGAAAGATTCAGGACAGAGAAAATAAATTCCTTCATACGGCACAAAGTTAAACTGTGGAACTCACTGCCACAAGAGGCAGTGCCAGCCACTAACTTGGATGGTTTTAAAAGAGGATTAGGCAAATTCATGGAGGAGGAGAGGGCTACCCATGGCTGCTAGCCATGATGGCTCAGCTTGGCCTTCTGAATGTCAGTTGTTGATAAATACAGGAGGGGAGAGTGTTCTGAGCTTGTGCCCTGCTCGTAGGCTTCTCATAGTTCCCATCTGGCTGCCCACTGTGAGGATGTTGAACTAGATGGACCATTGACCTGATTCAGCAGGCTTATGTTATTTATGCCAGCGGATGATGCGAAGAGGAGTTCCTGCGCTGAATCACAAACAAAGTACAGTGGTACCTTGGTTTAAGAACAGTTTGGTTTATGAACAACTTGGCTTAAGAACGCTGCAAACCCGGAAGTAGGTGTTTTGGTTTGTGAACTTTGCCTTGGAAGCAGAACATGTTCTGCTTCCTGTTGAGTGTGTTCCATTTGTAAATTGAGTCCCCCGCTGCTATGGGAAAGCACGCCTTGGTTTAAGAATGCTTTGGTTTAAGAACGGACTTCTGGAACGGATTAAGTTCGTAAACCAAGGTACCACTGTAGCTTGTTTTGTTTTACATTTGCATTGAACTTCACTGTACAATGAGAAATCTGGAGAATAGCCTTTATCAGGATCTCACTTGCCTGCCTTTTTAGACTGCCTGCCCTCATACATTGTGGGATCCAAGATTGCAGATCAGGATTTTTGGGTTTGTTTTTGTTAAGCTCATTTGAGCCCAGTATCATATTTTACATTATATATATGGGGTTTCCCCCGCCTCCCCAAAACAGTGCCGAAGAATGTAAACAAACCAGGCCTGCGACATCTGGATTACACATTTTAAACCAGCTTGCAGTCCGTACAAGAATTTAACATGCAGGCTGCTGCTACTTTCCTTGTCTGAAAAAGTGGAGGTGGAGGAGGAGGCTGTGATAGAACCAGTATCTGATGCAGAATTTGCCCTTTCCCTTTTTGCCAGGCTGGGATCTGATCTTCACAACATGGTTCCTTATAAACATGAAAATCAATAACATCCAAAGACAGAGACCCCACAGAGTTGAGACAGTCTTATCCCCTATGGAGCAGGATCCTATGCATGATTACTTGGAAGTCCCATTAGAGTTGAAGGGAGTTTGGGATGGGGGAGGAATTTGACCCAGTTCGCATTTTAAAGCGAACCTATTTAATTAGCACTTTCCAAAACAATATGTGAACCCAAAACCGTCTTTTGAAGTTTGTAAACTGCCAAATATTGCAATGCAGTTTCACAGCCAAGTAATGTGTACTAAATATGCACATTTTAAAGGTAAAGGTAAAGGGACCCCTAGGACTTGCTGATCGAAAGGTTGGCGGTTCGAATCCCTGCGGCGGGGTGCGCTCCAGTCGTTCGGTCCCAGCGCCTGCCAACCTAGCAGTTCGAAAGCACCCCTGCGTGCAAGTAGAATAGGGACCGCTTATCAGTGGGAAGGTAAATGGCGTTCCGTGTGTGCTGCGCTGGCTCGCCAGATGCAGCTTGTCACGCTGGCCACGTGACCCGGAAATGTTTGCGGACAGTGCTGGCTCCCGGCCTCTAGAGTGAGATGAGCGCACAACCCTAGAGTCTGGCAAGACTGGCCCGTACGGGCAGGGGTACCTTTACCTTTACCTTAAAGGGACCCCTGACCATCAGGTCCAGTCGTGGCTGACTCTGGGGTTGCAGCGCTCATCTCACTTTATTGGCCAACGGAGCCGGTGTACAGCTTCCAGGTCATGTGGCCAGCATGACTAAGCTGCTTCTGGCGAACCACAGCAGCGCACAGAAATGCCATTTACCTTCCTGCCAGAGCGGTACCTATTTATCTACTTGCACTTTGACGTGCTTTCGAACTGCTAGGTTAGCAGGAGCAGGGACCGAGCAACGGGAGCTCACCCCGTCGTGGGGATTCGAACCACTGACCTTCTGATCGGCAAGTCCTAGGCTCTGTGGTTTAACCCACAGCGCCACCCGCATCCCTCTAAAATACAAAATACATAAAAATCCCTCTAAAATACAAATCCCTCTAAAATACTAAATACATAAAAATGCACATATTAGTGAAAGCAAGATGAAAAAAATGCATTGTATTAGGAGAAATGACCTTGTAAACAAGGTATATAGGTATATAGGAGAATTTCACACTAAAACGCTAGTGAATATTCCTGAGGACTTAAAAAATAATAATTCACAAACTGATGTAGAAACAGGTAAGAGAAAGTGAAATTGACAGATTTGCTGGTCCTTGGAGCTAGGGCCTGCGCTTTGCATGCAGCTGGTCCCAGCTATTTCTGGCGTCAAAACGCGCAATGCTGCCAAAATCTGTATTTCCTGGCTCCAGAATGCAAACCTCTGTAGGCTCATAATGCTTTCCTCAGTATGGGGTGAGAGTTGTGACTCTGGTGTCCTTCTCCAGACAGGATGCCTTCCATCCACGCCTGCCCCTGCTTAAATTTGTTGCTGCTCCATAGGCAGAGGAAAGAGGGAGGAAGGGAAGCCTATGTCCCCTCCGCTCCCCCTCTGAGAAATAGAATTTATCCACTCACATGCATTGGTAGCACTGGGAAAAATCACATTTCCCAGTGCTCCTGGAGCATGACATGCAGCTGAAGCAGCAATCTGGGGATGGGGCTGTAATAATAATAATAATAATGTTTAGGGAAGCTTTTAATGTTTGATGCATTACTGTATTTTAATATTTTGTTGGAAGCTGCCCAGAGTGGATTGGGAGGCCCAGCCAGAGGGGCGGGGTATAAATGATAAATTATTGATAATAATAATAATAATAATAATAATAATAATAATACCCTGCCCATCTGGCTGTAAAGAAAAAAAGAGGTGGACTGGGAGTCAATTAGATCAGGAGAGCAGGAAGAGCACTTAAAACTTCCTGGTGCAGGATTGGAGGAAGGGATTGGACCATATTGCGCTTCTTACGACATCATTGGGGGAACGACATAACTTTTTTTGTAATCCAGATCGGAAATAACTGTAAACTATTTTCCAGGTTTGGAGAAACAGTTCTGGTTCTTCCTGAGCCTTCCATCATGGTGGGGGCATCCTTCCAGTCACTAATTTTAGATCTCAAGTAGAAGAGCTGCTTTGACTTGGTGGAAGGCAGGCATGCTTAATCCATTTGCAAGGAGAGACTTGCAAAAAGCCAATGCTGAATGCCAAGAATTCATGCCCAGATCTTATCAGCCTCACCCATCCTCCTCCATTTCCTTCTGCTCTTGCTTCTCCTGGCTCTGAAGAATCCCGTCTTCATACCGAAGCTTCATCTCAAGCAGGCATAGGGTGTCGAGCGCGGTCTGCCAGTTGTTTAGAAAGGGACTTCCTGGGGAAATTGAAGTACTATAGGCAATGCAACTTACACAGGGGTTATGTAACTTACGTTCTGGGGGTTCGTGAGAAAATAAAATGGTGCAAAGTCAGGGAAACTCCTGGAACTGCCCCTGTGTTGACTATCCCTACCTTACTAGGCTCTGGGAAGGTTGCACGAGACCCTTGGAAGTCTCTTGGAAGCTCTCATGACATCTTGCAGGAGTCTTCCACAGCCTTCAAGAGGTCTTGCATGACCTTCCCAGACCGCTGTAAGCAAGGCTCATTCCATGGCAGGAAAATCCAGTGCCAAAAGAGCTTTGTAAGCCCTCTTGCCTTGCTTACTGGGCTCTGGGAAGGTTGCAAGAGATCTCCAGCTGTCCCTTCCCT